TAAGCCAGGTGTCACAGGTTTAGTCAATCTCGGCAACACCTGCTACATAAACTCGGCTGTACAGGTGACGGAAATATCCATCTATTATTAGCGCTCCTTACAATTCGTTTGCACATCAACTCATAACTCTCCCCTATTCATTCCTGTTCCTATCGTTTGTTGTTAGGGCATATTATGAGTTCGGTTTCTGTAGGGTTCTGTGACATTTTGTGTCCTCTCTACTTTGATCCCTATAAATATCCACTGAACCATGCCATTCGTTCATTCTTTCAACCATCCATCCTGATTTAACAAACCATGTTCTGTCTTTCGTTCGACAGGTTCAATACAAGGAACGAGTGGAGACGATTCTTTGCCTACTGGTTCTGCTGAAGGCCGCAATAAACACGGACGAGGTTAATGCTTATGAAAAAGGCAGAAGTGAGGCAGAGAAGACAAAGGCGCCTTTTTAGGAGGACGCAGTCTACCTAAAAGGCAGCACAATGATTGCCAACATTTAATGCGAGTGCAGAGGAGGAGGAGGAGGCGGAGGAGAAGGAGGATGAAGAGGAGGATGCAGTTCATTGGTACACACTTACAATTGACAGTGGCCTCAAGAAATCTGACCGATGCCCAGAGGACGCACTACGTTGCCAAATTGACTACATTGAAGTAGTACAGCAAGGCGAAGCCCAGGTAGGTGTAGAGAAACCTTACATAGACCATTCCGCTCACTGATCATCGTTACTTTATCTCAATGTCAACTTGGCTCCTCCTCTTCCTCTTCCGCCACCTATACACAGGTTATCTGACTATCGTAGTACGAAAGAAGTAAAAAGTTTTTAACAGCCCAGATTGAGCATTTGTCTAGCTGCCTTTCAAGTTGAGTGTGTCCTCGGGATAATTCCTCACATCTTTACCCCCTTGACTTTCGCTCAGATATTGAGGTTCATTTCACGACTTGTAAAACCGTCTGTCGAATCAGCAAGATGGAAGGAGGAGAAGGGTGAAACACTAAGTTTAGTGGCTGTTAAGTCGCACATCCCACTTTCTCCTTTGTCTGTTGTATCATTTCTTGCCACCCTCAACTCAACCCATCACTTATACCTGCAACAAGGTTCGGGAAGGCTTGTTAAGTGTAGCCACTGGTTAAGAAGAGGCAATTCGTTCTGTGTACCATCGTTTGCTAGATTTGCTTCATTCTCTCTATGCTCCTCTGCTCCTCAGGTCTCACACAACCCAGCTTGTCCACAAAGCACCACATCTCCCCATCACTCGCGTCCAGCGTGCTCCAGTGATTGCACGTTGTCAGTCACGCGAATTTCAAATCCTTCTCGAGCTGACGATCGATGAGCCAGGCACATCGCAGTTGTGACATTCCGGTGACGTGGTGATGATGTGCGAGAGTGGATTCGTCTATGCAACGTTTTTCTGTGCCTACCTGGGCTTCGCCTTACTAAACTGCTTCAATGTAG